TTATAGATGGTTGTGAGCTGCTATGTGGGTATTAGGAACTGAATCTGTAGAAAAGCAGCAAGTGCTCTTGACTGTTGAGTCATCTCTGCAGGCCCTTGTTCTTGTTCTTCTCCTTCCCATCCTCCTTTTTTTTGGGGGGGGGGGTTGGTTTTTTTGAGTCAGCATTCTCTCTGTAATAACAAATAGCCTTGGCTGTCTTGAAACTTGCTCTGTAGTTCAAGGCTGGCCTTGAACTCAGAGATCTGCCTGCCTCTGCTTACCAGTGCTGGGATTAAAGGTGCTCACTGCCACCACCCTGTTTGTTTTACTTCTTTTGAGAGCTGTTTACTCAGTTCACTTACCTATTTATTGATTAAATTGGTTGGGGATTTTGCATGTGTGTCTGTGTATTTAATTTTTTTCTTTTTGCTTCTTGATGTATTCTTGGTATTAATTTCATATGTGATGAATATCTGGCAAAGATTTTCTCCATTATTTGGGCTCTTCACTGGTAACTGTTTTCTTTGCTGAATAGAGGCTTTTAACTTTATTTATTTTTATTAGGTTTTTCTTAATTTCTTCTTCTTTTTTATTTTAAAGACAGGCTCTTTCTGTATAGTTCTGACTGTTTTGGAACTTACTATACAGACCAGACTGGCCTCAAACTCGCAGAGATCCATCTGCTTCTGCCCCCTAAGTGCTGGTATTATGGGTGGGTCCCACAACACCTGGATATTTTTATTAGTTTCTTTTTTTTAAATATACAAAGTAATGCAACTTCACCATAGGATCCTCACACATACTTTTTTTGCATATTTTATTTGTTCTTTGACAATTTCTTAACCTGTATTTATCTCAATAATATCAATTTAACTGGCCCTTGCCCCTCTTTTTTACCTTTCCATTTTCTTATTCTCCTCTTTTTCTGTCCTTTTGTTCAATAACTCATTGAGCCAATTATTGCTGCTTGTATTAGAATAGACATAAGGCTACTCAACAGAATATGGGCAACCTACCAGAGCTACACCCCCTAAAGAAATATGACCCTCCCTCCCAGTAGCTATGGCCAATATATTTTTGGCTAATACTGGGTCCTAATGATTTCTTCCCCTGTTTATGCTTGAATGTTGATTGGCTTGATCTTGTACAAGTCTTGTGCATATGAGAAAAAAAAACAGGGTATTTGTCTTTCTAGGATACTTCATTAAGATATAATTTCCAGGTCCATCCATTTTATTTGTGCATGTTATCATAGTACAAATAATAAAAACCCAGAGACAGATATTGGGGTTAAAGTTGGAAGATCAGGAAAGCAAAGCAGCCAGTTATTCATTAGCTCTTACCTCTACCTTGGACTGAAAGGACAATCTTGTCTCTATGAATCCTCAGAATGCAATCTGAGGCTTCACCGAGATCCTGCTTTATATTCTCTCTAGTGCTGGGATTAAAGGTATGAGCTGTTTCTCTTTTAGACTGATTCATTCTCATGTAGCCCAGGGTGGCCTTGAACTCACAGAGGTCCATCTGCCTCTGTCTCCTGAGTGATGGAATTAAAGGTGTGGCTACCACGGCCTGTCCTATATGGCTAACTAGTGGCTTAGTTCTGCATTCTGATCTTCAGGCAAGGTTTATTTGTTAGATTACAAACAATATATCACTACATGTCATGATTTCATTTTCCTTTATGGCTCAATAAAGTTTAATTGTGTATGTACATCACATTTTCATTGTCCAGTCATCTTTTATGGACATTGTGGTAGTTTGAATATAATTGGTTCCCATCATAGGTAGTGGCACTATTAGGAGGTGTGACTTTGTTAGAGTAGATGTGTCCTTGTTGGAGAAGTATGTCACTGGAGGGTGAGCTTTGAGTTCTCATATATGCTCAAGCCATGCCTAGCATCTCAGTTCACTTCCTGTTGCCTGTGGATCAAAGATGTAGGATTCTCAGCTTTGTCTCCAGCACCATGTCTGCCTGTACACCACCTTGTCCCACCATGATGACAATGGACTAAACCTCTGAACTGTAAGCCACCCAATTAAATGTTTCCTTTGTAAGATTTGCCATGGTCATAGAAACCTTAACTAAGACAGACATTTAGGTTGGTTCTGTTGTTAATATAAGTAGTGCATCAATAAATATAGATGTGTAAGTATCTCTGTAGTAGGACTTAATCCTTTGTGTGTATTCTTGGGAGTAGTATAGTTTGACCATATGTTAGTTCCATTTTTAGTTTTTGAAGAGATCTACATACTCATTTTCATAGTGGCTGCACAAGTTTACATTCCTGCCAGCAGTGAATATGGGTTCCTATTTTGCTCTATCCTCAGCAGACTTTGTTGCCTCTTGTTTTCTTGGTGATAGTTATTCTGACTGGGGTAAAATTCAATCTTAAAAGAGTTTTAATTTGTATTTCTCTAATGCATAAAGCTATAAAGCGTTTTTCAAATATTTGTTGGCCACGTGGTTTTCTTCTTTTGAGAACTGTCTTTTTGGCTCATTAGTTTTTGGTGTTTCATTTTTGTAGTTTTTAAAAAATACATATCTACATATTTATTAACTGCTTATCTGAGGTATAATGGGCAAAGATTTTCTCCTGTTTTGTAGCCAGTCCCTGTGGGTAGCTTTACTACTGTGAAGAAGCCTTTGGATTTCATGTAATCCCATTTGTCAATTCATTTATTTCCCACTAGTGTGATTTCCAGAATTAAAAAAAACAAAACGAAACAAAAGAAACATATCTTGAAACGCTTTTCCTAGATTTTCTTCCAGCAATTTCAGCATTCAGTTTTTATAATAAAGTATTTTTTTTTCAAAAATTTGAAAAAAATACACACAGTGTATATAGTGCAGGACAAGAGATGAAGTTTAACTTCACTCTTCTCTATATAGATACCCGATTTTCCCAACCCCTGTTTGTTGAAGAAATTATTTTACCCCTCTAATTTAAAGTATGGTTTTAACACACCTTTGTCAAAACTTATGTAGCTATAGCTGTTTGGGTTCATTTCTGTATTTCCTTTCTTTTCCATTAGTTCATACATCTGTTTGTATGTCAGTACGATGCTCTTTATCACTTTGGCTAACTTGGGGTCAGGTATTGTGAAATCTGTTTTGTTTTGTTTTTTTTTTTTTAAATATTTATTAATTTGTTTTTTGGAATGCTGTGAATGCTGTGTCTTTTTGAGGTCATTGTAGTCCTCTATGAATTTAGACTTTTTTATAGTTCAGTGAGAAATTTCACTTATATTTTGATTGGAATTGTGTGGAATATTTAGGATTCTTTTAGTAATTTTTTTCATGGTATTAATTGGGTCAGTCTCTAAGCATGAAATACCTTTTTATTTTCTAGTGACTGTATCAGTATCATTCTTAAATGTTTTAAAGGTTTCATTGTAGATATATTTTTAATTTTCCCAATGAGGTTTATTCCTAACTTCAAAAAAGATTTATTTTGTTATTTATGCTTATTTGTGTGCCTATGTGTGTATGTGTATATTGTGCAGTAATCAGAGAACCTAGAAGAGGGCATCAGAGTCCTTGGAGCTCGAGTTATAGGAGGCTACGGGCCCTGTAATATGAAGGCAACTAGACTCCATTTCTCTGCAAAAGCATCTTTTTTATCATAATTTTTATTTATTTTACATAACAACCACAGTTTCCACTCCCTTTTTTCCTCCTGTTACGTTCCACCACTTCCCTTCTACTCACCCTGCCTCCCAGCCACTTCTCTTACCCCTTCTGCAATAGCACTCTTAACTACAGAGTCTTTTCTCCAGCTCCCTATTTTTTAAAGCTATTGAAAATGAATTATTTTTCCTAATTTCTTTCTTGGCCACTTTATTATTGATAAACAGGAAAGCTACTGGTTTTTGTGTGTGCTTGTATTTTGTTGCTTTGCTGAAAATATTTATCAAATCTAACAGTTTTCTGGTGGTAAGCATAGCATCCTTAAGTATAAGATCATGTCACCTGCAAAAAGAATGATTTAACTTCTTGTCCTATTTGTATCCCTTTATTTTTTTTCTCTTACTGGTGTAGCTAAAGTTCCAAGCACTATATCAAGAGTGGGACCTACTTAAGTTCATAGTGAGGCAGTGAAGCCTCCCACTATTACTATATCAAGATTTATCTGACTTTTAATGTGCTTTAATGTTTATTTTATGCTATTGGGAAAGCCTTCATTTATTGATTTTTTTTTATACAATCACTATAACATCCTTATGACTTATTCCCTTGGCGTCTTTACTTCTACTTAACTTTTCTTGGTGGGTATATTATCATTATGAGAGCTTCATTTAGTTATTTCTGCATGTAGTTGTGTAGTCTAAGCCTTTATATTATCTCATACTTAATATTCCTTGTCAGTATACAGGTTATCTTTTGTTATAAAGCATTATATAAAATGAATTACTATAGTTAAGTTTCTGATAGCCTCATATTAATGGTTGACTTTATTATACTCTAGGTTAAAGGATGATAGTATTTAGGCTATTCATGTTTTATTTGAAGGAATTTTATTAGGATAAAGTGAAATAATTGGAAAACTGGAATGGCTCTTACTGGTCACCAAACTTGACCACCTGAGTTCTAGCCTCAGCACCCATATAACAGAACAAGAGAAGGAAATCACATAAATTGTCCTCTGACCTCCATGCATGCTACATGTGAGTTTTGAGCATGAATGGCCTGTGCACAGTACTGTAGCTTGTGAGTTATTTGATAGAGTATTTCTTTGTAATTTTTTTAACATTTTATTTATGAAGTGTTTAAGGCTGTAGTATTCTCCTGAGTATACAGTCTACCTATACATGGTCATAAAATTGTGCATCAAGAATACAGAGTTGAAGGAAGGGTATTAGGATAGAATTTTATGACCATGTATAACTAGATTGTCTACTAGTGGTAGTTTTAATAGAATATTTAGAATATTCACTACATTTCCACTTTCTTTCAATATATATGAAATGTTAATCACAATTTGCATTTCATTAACTAGATTTTTTTGTTTGTTTTACAGGGGATCTTTCCTGCAAATTATATTCATTTGAAAAAGGCAATTGTCAGTAATAGGGGGTAAGTAATTAGCCTAAGTTAATTTATAATTATTAGAGGTTGCAGAGGAAGTTTGACATGGTTTGTAGTTTAAAATATATTATTGAGAGGATTTAAATTTTTCTAAACTTTATTTTATGTGCATTGGTGTGAAGGGATCAGATGCCCTGGAACTGGAGTTACAACAGACAGCTGTGAGCTGCCATGTAGTTGCTGGAATTGAACCTGGATCCTCTGGAAGAACAGTCAGTGCTCTCAAACACTGAGCCATCTCTCCAGGCCCTGAAGGGATTTTTAAAATTATGCATTTATTATTGTATAGAATCCCAAGCTATGCTTTTTTTAAACAATATTTCAGATAAATAACCTTAGCTGTAAATTTCATTAAAGCAGTTACATATATATTATCTTTTATATATATTAGGTATTACTTTGAGAATTATCATTCTAGACTAGGTATTAGAGATAAATTTATCATTTCACTTTTATATGTCAAAGTGAAGGGAACTTAAAATTTTTTATTTATAAGTAGAGATTAAAAAATTTAAAGGTTTATCTTGTGGATAGAAACATTATTATGCAATATGAATATATTAAGCACACATCTGAAAAGCCAAGGCAAGTTTTTTTTTGTTTTGCGACAGGGATGAGAAATAAATATACTAAATACTAACATTGATTGTTTTACATGTTAAGAGTGATTTTTAAGATATTTGCTGTTGTCATGTCCTATTTTATAAAGTTATGTAAAATTTAAGTAGTATTTACTTTTCAACTAAGGACGCTTTTGACTGGAGAGTGAATAAGCAGCAGAGTCTATAGTCATTTAAAGTTTAGTCATGAAGACATAAAACACATTAGTAAAAGTATGAAGTGGGATTTAATATAGGACATTATTTGTGCTTGTGTTTAAGGGCGAAAAACAAAAGAGGAAATACTGATGTCATCCAAGTAATGATAACAACAGACATCAGTCTACTCAAGTGGCTGGGACACAAAGAACAAGAGGATGGGACACCAGACCCTAGGGACTGGAGGAAATGGGTCTTGAGACATTAGAGCTCAAACTTTAAGAAAGGGAAATACCAGGGCTGCTGGTGTTGTATATGAATAATGTGGCAATAGGGGCATACTATCAATGCCAAAGACAACTGGATGCTAAGGCCAATTTTCATCGATAGAGAATTGTTTATAGGAACAGTAAGAAACACAGTTTTTTCCTTGCTATCTTTCTAATGTCCGTAGTTGACAAAGGGGGTTGTGTAATGAAGTTCATGTGTGAAGAAGGTTAGGTTTGGAGGCTATAATTATTAGTAAATCACTGGTTTGACTTCAAAGGTAAAACTTGTTATTGGGGAATTAAAAGAATTACAATATTATGGTATGAATATTATTAAAACAATCCTTTACCCATCTCCTTTTTGCTTTGTATTAAGAAGTAAACCCAGAGCCCTGTGTGTGATGAACACTTTACATTGAGCCATGTCTATAGAGTCCCTGGCATATTTCTATTTCTTCCCTCTTTTCTTTTTATGAAATGAACATACACTAGTGTGTATGTGTGTAAACTTGCCACTTCAAAAATTTAAGTAAGGACTGTCAAAGTATAAACACTCTATAGAAGTTGTATGAGGAAAAGGGTGTATCTAGGCTCCCAATGGGGAAAGTATAGATTTTTAGAAGTTACAAAAATATATTTTCCAAGTTGAAATGGCTACTTTTATGTTTTATGTAGGAAAACCTAAAAATGATATTCTTGATCTGTAGTGCTATGATCTGTAACAGAGCTGAAATTGTGCAGAAGCACCGTGGGAGTGAGGTAAGGAAGGACTTACAGGAATATGTAGTGATCCAGAAGAAGAGTGTCTCAGAAAATACTAGCAAGGCAAGCTCATCTTGAGCTCAGAAAGGCTTGGGAGACAATTTGGTTTCAAAAGTATAAATACATGAATTCTGTTTGCTTAGGGAAAGCAGAAGGGCTATGCAGAATTGCTCAGGACGGTCATATTTATTGGATGTATTCTTTCTCTGTGAGAGCATAGCTTTGGATATAAGTCATAGAAAGCTACCTAGAATTAACTGTTGTGTCTAGATGTCTAGCGGGGTCATCACACAGAACAGAAGTTATAAAACCCAGATAAAGTATGAAGAAAAATTCTTGCATGCAGGCACTGACAAACAACTGACATAGATAAGTTCTCTAAAGGTTCTTTTGCTTTTATACTTTTTCTTACATTTGAAATGGGGGGTCTCTCTAGCCCTAGCTGACTTTGTTTTCTTTTGGTAAAGATTTTTAAAGGTGGTGATCCATGAAGGAACAGATACACATAGGAAGAACTTCAAGTTAACTTTGGCTTCTTTTTTTCCCTCAGAAAGTTTCAATTTGTCATATGATGGAAAGAGAGCCCAGGAAGACAATAGTAGTGTTTTTTTTTTTTTTTTTTTTTTTTTTCCTTGGTTTGGCATCAGCAAGATGGAGTAAGTGCTCACTTTGGAAGCACATACAGCAAAATTGTAACAGTACAAAGATTAGCATGGCCACTGTGCAAGGATGACACACAAATCCGTGCACTGTTCATATTTTAAGAGATAAAAGGTAGAAAGGAAATTCCATTCCTCATCCTTTGCAGAAACATTGATTTAACAATCACATATACAGCAATTTATGTTTTATGAGCTGTACAGAATCCAGTAAAGTTGATGCAGGACCCCCTCCCCCAGAGTACAAAATAGGAAACAGCCACTTTTGAACCCTTTAAGAACAATTTCATTTACTTGGATCATCCCTTTCTCCATGATAGCTAAGGCAGAATTTACAACAGTTGATCTATTTCACTAGAGCATCATAAAATGAGCATAATATATTTAACATCTTTAGCATTTTGGGTCACTGTCCAAGTGACACATTTTAACCTGCTTTACTGCAATTGCTGAAGTTACCTGCATAAGTTTAAACTTTCAGAGGCAACTAAAAAAACAAATAAAAGGAGTGGCAGCATATTGAAGCGTGTAAAGCACTGTAAGATGAAGAATAGTGCAAAAATCAAGACTTCTTCCCAGACAGGATAAAAAGGAGTGTAACAGGCATTTAGTGTCTCAGCCTTTTAGTAAGTACACTTTTAGAAGAAAGGGATGGGCATCTCCCTGTAGTCAGTACAGTTCTGCAAGATTGAGTTTTTTCTCAGAGGGAAAGAGAAGGACAGAGTATATATCTGCTGCCCGTGTCTTTTAAATACACTACCCTAGGGAAGAGTGATTTACTGTGGCTATTTATGGGTATGAACAGTTGGAAGGAGACCCATAATCTTGAGACTCTCAGGAAGAATGGAGGAATAATACATATCCATACAAAAGGCTTAAGAGGTTCCCAGGTCCTCATATAAAAAGCCAGTCCACAAACACCAAGGAAGGTGGCTGGTTTTTTTTTTTTTTTTTTTTTTTTTTTTTCTCCCCTTCGTTTTGCTAATATAGGAGTTGAAAGCAACAAAAGAAAAAGTAACTTGTGTACAAGGAAACTTGATGATATGGAAGATTTCTCAGTAGAGACTTTTCAAAATAGAAGGAAATGGAATGATAAATTAGGCATATCATAGGAATAAACCATTTAGCAAAAAATATTGTGCCTAGTAAAATGACTCTTTAAAGATAGATTTTCCAATACAAATAATAATAGCAGAGGTAATTTATCACTAGATTTGCCTAGCAAGAAGTACAAGGAAAGAGTTCTGTAAGTTGGAGCAAAAAGGGTGCTTCCTGTGTGTTCTAAAGGAAAATGAAAGTGTAGGATTTATGGGTGAAGGCAAAGATAGAAACATTAGACATAATTTTATAAACATAATTATATAAAATTTTATAAAATTTTATAGCATGAGAATCTGACTTCAAATCTCTGGCAAAAAGCCAGGTATGGTCATTTGTACCTGTAACCCTTATGCTGCCTGGGATAGACAGGAGGATCTTTGGAGCCTGTTAGCTTACAGAAACCCTGCCTCAAGAGAAGGTGGAGCATGATAGAGCAAGACACCTGGGGTCTTCCTCTGGTCTTCACATGGACACATACCCTCCACATGTATATGTCCCCTTCTCTTTTACACATGCACATGCATACACAATAGCAGAATAGATGATTATAAGATGCCTTTTTATAAACATCATGGAAACCACAAAGACCACAGAAATTTAGAACTGGTCCAGGCTAAATATAACTTTATAGTAAGGCAATTGCTTGGCATGCAAAAGCCCTGTGTTCAGTTCCCATCACTAGTAAATACCAGAGAAAAATATAAAGGAAGATTATTCTAGTTCATGGAGGCCACTATGCTGGCTTAGATGCAGATGTTCATTAGGCTGATATAAAGTGTCAAGGTACTTTATCCATTTTGGTATTTGAGATGATGGAATTTTCTTTTTTGAGATAGGGTTTCTCAGTGTAATAGCCCTAGCTATCCTGGAACTTGCTTTGTAGACCAGGCTGCCCTAGAACTCACAGAGATCCACCTGCCTCTGCCTCTTGAGTGCTGGGATCAAAGGTGTGCACCATCATTCTTGGATAATTTTCCAATAACATATACAGATAAAAGAAGATGTGACTTTTTCACTAAGGATGTAGTCATCATTCTGGGAGATATGTAGTTTGAAAGGATTTGTTTTTAAGAAGACATAAAATACTACAATCTTGAATATATTAAAGTTGAAGAGTTACAGATTTAAGTGGAGTTGTAAATTAGGCAGTTGTCTGTCTGAATGTGAAGTTGTATAATTCCGTTGTTAAAAATAAGCAGTTAATGTAGCCAGAGATGAACTGAAGACAGATTCTAAGGAACTGTAGCATTTCAATTTAGGTGGAAGGGGAGAATTCATAGTAAGATGAAGTTGTAGCCAGTGAGGTACATGGAGATAAGAAACATTCTTAGAGGTGGAGAACAGAAACGTTGCAGAGAAGAACCAGTTAAATAGATGTGTTAATGTTGATGTTGAATAGAATGACCAAGATTATTTTATGAATTTTTTTTATTTTTTTT